TGCTGACCATCGGTAACGGACATTTATCACTGGAGTTTTTAAAAATATTAAATAAACGGTTATTTTACAGGCATTGCAGGGTGGGTAATTTCCCTCCCAGACGCAGGAAACTGGGTGGCTCCTTTCTTTGTGAGGAGCGGGGTTTCGCTGCCCACTCCTACCTGTCCCATTTCCGGAACCTCCCCCTTATTGGGGTTAATGGGTTGGGATGGATGGAGAAGCCCTCCTCTCTCCCCGTGTTGGTCAACCTCTGACCCCACCCATATTGATTTTCTTACTTTTCCCTCCACTTCGGCCTTAAGAGTCTCAGTCTCCCCACTCCTCATCTCCAAAAGGCTCCGAGTTTAAAAAGAAGCCAAGCCTGCGGCCAATACATCGGCCGTAAAAAATCCCAACATTGCCGGGTGCTAGGGTCGCTTAGGGTCCACCAAGGGAACAGAAGGTCACCTACCTCTCCAACCAAGGGCTTCCCTACTTGCCTGATGCTTCTGCTTTGGGGAGAGAAGGAGGCGCCCTCACGGACAGTCTCAGACCAGTTCATTCCCCCGGGCCCCTAAACGCAGCTGCAAATACACAGTCACCGCAGCCTCCCCCAAACCCAAACCTACATCCCTTCCTCCGTTAGGATCCGCCTGACACAATTTTGTGGCCGGGGCTTGTCCCTTGCCCGGAGCCCGGCTTTATGCCCGCAAAGATTCCCTGCAGTTTTAAAGCCTTGTCAGGAATGGCGGAGGCGGGCGCCCTGGGAGGCCCGGGAGTTAGGAGGAGAAATCTGAGTCCGCCCTCCACAAGCTGAACCTTCCCTGGGGCGCCTAGTTTTCCCACAATTAGAGGCCAAGCCGCCGGGGGTTCTCCTGCTTGGAGCGGGGCGGGGCTCCCTCAGCTCCGGCATCCAGACCGCGCGGCGGTGCAGGCGGTGGCGCCCGCGGCCTTTCCCGATCCGAGCAGGGCCTCTCCGGCTTTTGTCCCCGACGCTCCGCGGCCACGGAGACCGCTGGGTCGAGCTTCCCTGCAACAAGAGACCCCAAATCCCAGCCTTAGGCTGGGCCCTTATGTCTGAGAAAACGAGTCGGGACTGTAGGAGTTAAAACGTTCCAGCCTTTCACTGCGCAACCCCCACCACCTCCTCTGGGGACGCCTCCTCGCCCTCGGCGGGCTTGAACTGGGCGATTCGGGAACCCGACTGGTCACTGTAGCCTTGGCCGGGACGGCAAGAAGGAGCCCTGCCCTCAGCATTCGGAGCCACGCTGCCCCCTGCTGGACAGGCCTGGAGGGGCCGCTCAGGAATCGGGGTCCCTCACTGCGTCCGGCGCACAATTGGGAATAACTCTCAGTCGCGGCCCGGATCGGCGCCTGATCTTGCCCTTAAACTTTTCTTGACTGGTTTTGGGGCCCACTGCGAACGAGGAGCAGGGCGCTGCCGGTTCTGGATGCCGGTTCTTGCTCAGCTAGATGAGCAAGATCCCAAGCTTTCCTACCCTCAGTTCCAAAAGGACTTCCCCCAGGAGAGAATGGAGCCCAGATCCCAGAGAACTGTGATGGCTGGGCATCTGAAGGGAGTTTAGTCAGTGGGTTTTGGACTTCGACGGCTTGGGCCCAGGCAGCACAGGCTGTGGTATGGGTCGCCCTTGGCCCAGGCTTGTGCTGGGGCCCAGGGCAGGAAGCGACACCCATTTACTAGCCCATTGTGCTGGTTGTTCCAAGATGACGACAGTGTGTGGACACACACACACGCACATACACAGCCACTACTGAGAGTTTTGGGCACCTCTGAGGATCTGAGAGAGAGTGTCACTTAGTCCCTTCACTCTTTCTGGGGTTCTACATCTTCCTCAACGATTGATTACCGACCACTGCTGCCCCATGCCGCTCACATTGCACTGTCTCCCACCTCCCTAAGACAAGCAGAAGCTCTGTCCCCACTCAAGACTTCCTAAAGACTGAAGAGGAGGATTGCCTGCAAGGGTTTCCTTGCTGGTCCATCCACTTCTGGTACCATGAATCCCTGCCCCTCCATGCCTAGGCCCTCCCAGCAAGAAACGTTCAGTATCAGGGGTGCATCCTTGAAAGAATGAATTCCTAGCGCAGAGGGTTTTTTTTGGGGGGGGAGTGGCTGTCCAGAGACCTCTGTCCTTTCACAATGTCTCTGCTGTGATTCGGATGGACTCAGAAGTCAGTTCTCAGTGTAGTTTGCTGCAGTCCCGTGACTGCAGTGATTTCATAGATTATACAGTAATAGCGACTGCGAGCAGAAAGGCAAGCCTGGGCTGTGGGCCACCAGACCGCACACAGGCTACAGTTCCTTGGTGGTACTCCACGGGTCGCATGAAAAGGCAATGAGCCTGTTGGAAATGCTGGATGGGTTTTACTGCCTGTCCCATTGCAGGTGGCCATCCCCCCCCAAACCTCTGGAATAACCCCCCCCCCCCCCACACACACACACCTACCCCACACCTCGTTTTCAGACATTAAGCATCTTTGGTCTCTGGTTGCCCAGCGTGCCTGGGGCCGGTTTTCAGGAGTGAAGAAGATGAGAATTCAGCAGGGGTCATTTCCAAAGCTGCTAGGCCTGCAATTCGTGTCCAGGGCAGGGGAGGGGGGCAGGGGGGGCTACCCGACTGGACTTCTCGGCTGGGCGGAAAGCGCGACAGACTCTAGTGCTCGCTCTAGGAAGAGATCAGGAGAGACCTGGGAGAAAGAACAGCCTGCAGAGGCTTCGTTCAGGTTCCTTCTCCTCCTTCTGGAATATAGCTACAGGTTTGGGCTGCACGAAGGGACGTTTCCTTGCTGACCTCCTTGTCTGGAGATTCAGGGCTAGTACAGGATCCTGAGGAAGGGCGCGGGAGAAACGCGTGAGATGGCCTAGGGCTTCCTGACGTCACCTTATCTCCAAGAACGTGAGATCTGTGATATCCCATCCCCAACCCTGGAACCTTGGTGTACGGAGAAACCGGCTCAAAGTCGTCCCACCCCACCTCCCAGAGCACTAGGGCGCTATGACGTCAGGGCATCCTCTCGCTGACAATGATGTCACACAGGTCTCTGGCAAAGCGCAAGGGCTCCGCGACGTCTAGAGCGGTATCTCATTTACGTACTTCCATGACGTCACATTGGGCCCCGCCTGGAGCGGAGACACTACTGCTCCTGTATTTCCCGGTCCCACCCCTCGAACCCTGCCCATAGACACGCCAAGAATCGGTTCGTCCTCACGGACAGGATCTGCAGACCCGAACCGTTGGAGGTGCCTTTAGTGAAGGCGGGTGCGCAGCGCCTCCGCTTCCGGGATCTGGAGGCTCTGAATGCTCTCCCAGCCCGCAGAGTTTCAGGGCACCAGATGCCATGGGAATATTCGCCCCGCCCTCCCGGATGGGTCCTACCCACCCGCCTCCCCGCCCACTGCGCAGGCCCGGCGCGCAGGCGCAGAAGGAAGTCGTCGCCCTGAGCAGTGGTTGCTGGAGCGCGCTGCTCCGCGGAGGTTCCTGGCGGTCAGGTCGCTGCCGACTTCCGAGTCCCGCTTTCAGGGATGACAAACTTGGGGTGACACTGGCCTGGCGGGCACACCTAGCCTTCGGCGTATGTGAGATGCCGACGAGGGAGAGGGCAGCTCCGGGTTAGTGCGGGCTGGAGCTCCTTGGATTTCCTGTGGCGTCTCAAATCCAGCGCAGCTGTGGTCAGACCGAGGTCCTTGGGATTCGAGCCGGCAGGGATGGTGTGACCGGGCCCTGCTCTAGACCAGAAAGTCCAGGGCGTCCCAGCCTTCTCGGGCGGGGGCTCTGAGGCAGAGGTCTTGGCCCCCAGTCAGGCGGAGCTCTTAGAGGCACACCTGCTTTACCCATCCAGCCTGGCTTTCTGGGCCGCCTTCACAGCCAAACTGATGGTTGGGCCCAGTTTGAATATGTTTTAGATGAAAAATTCACTACAGACATGAGATACTAGGAAGGGATCAAACCTCATGTCAGTGGCAGAGGAAGAATTAGAAGCTTTATTTCCTCTGAGGCCTGAAGATCCTGTTTTGTCTAGCTTTTTCTGCTACTCACAAACTTTGGGCAAAGTCCCTACGCTTCTCTGAGCCTCATAGTGGGGATAATACTCTTCCCACTTACCTCAATCAGTTAATGACAGGTCAAAGTCATACATACTTTCTCAGTATTTTTTTTTTTTTTTACTGCTTAAACCAAAATCTGGACCTTGATGTGTTGCAGAACCACTTGGGCATTTATGAAGCACCCTGTCAGAGTATTATTAGAAATACTTCTCAGCATCCTGAAATAGCCTGCTTCCCAAGCTGCCTTATTCTTAGAAGAATCTTCCTCCCATCTTCACTATATTGTAACCCAGGGATCCTGAAATGGGATGGAAGAAGGGTATCTCACCTGGACTGGTGGCGTTCTTGAACCCTCCTGAACCTCCTGGAAAACTTGAAAGAAGCCTTTTTTAAAAAACTCTCTGGAGACAAATGGATTAATCAGTTCACAGATGATCGTTATGTTTGGTTGGGAGAGGAAGTCGGGTGACAAAATGTAAGTGTCCTACTCACCACTCCTTTGAGACATATACTTAGGGAGAAAAAAAAATCACCCTGGGGCAGAATGAGGTGTGGGGTAGGGCAGGGGCCTATGTATGTGGCAGGTGTCACTGGGTAAGTAGTAAGGGTCTTAAACTCTGCAAACATCCCCTACTGCTTCTCCTTTGGAGTTGTGCTTTCTTTGACTTGTGCTAGAGTGTCCCAGCCTGCAGAAACACTAGTTACACAATACTATTCCATGGACACATTTGCAGGAATGTTTCTATCACCCAGCCACCCGAGCCCTGGCCATGTGCTGCCATTCTTGGCCATTTTTCCTGGCCAGTGCTGGTTCCAGCTTCAGCAATAAGAATATAGAATAGAACGATTAACCCAGAAAAGTGGAATGGTTTGAGATGAATGAAGGATTAATAGGTTGCAAGTTTTGTTTTTTTCTTTTCCAAACACTGAGCTGGCTCTTAGCAGCTCAGCCATCTCTGGGGAGGTATAAAGCATAATTAATTTATTTTTAATGTTTGGTTTGATTGAACTCTTTTTCTAGTGAGATAAGATAAGGAGTTTGTCATGACAAGGGCAGGGATGGATTGCTTTTTGTCATTCACAGGAGTGGGTGCCACTTGGAAACTTGTAGGTAGATGGTGGCATGAGATGAGAAACTTTACAGGGGACGTGATAGAAAACTAGAGAAGATGGGACAGGAATGGCTAGATTCTTTGCCACTTGAAGGACCAGAGAGGGAGAATGAGCTTCCAGAGAATGCAGGCCTGGCTTTAAATGTTGCGATTTCCTTGGGAGGTTGGTTGTTGGTTCACTTCTTATTGACCTGGGTCAAGAGCTGAGCGTGTTTGTGCAGTCGGAGTTCAGAATATCTTCAGTTATCTCACAGCATACGTGGCTCCTCCTGTAGGCTTGCAATAGGCCAAGAACCAGAGCAGATGTCGTGCAGTAACTATCAGGAACAGTCCCTGTGGTCTTGTCATTGGAGAGATCAACCAACACTGAAATATTTAAGCAGATACTCTAAGGCGGGTAGGGTGGCTTGAAGAGTTCTTGTCAGCTGTTAACAGGGATCTATGTGTCATAAGAACCACCTTTTTAATGATAAGGTTCATATCTAATGTATTTAAAAAATTTTGCCTATTAATTCCTAACTTTGATACTTAATGTGTTAAAAGCTCCCACCATGATGGTAAAATTATTATTTTCTTGTAGTTCTAGTGTGTGTGTGTATGTGTGTGTGTGTGTGTATATATATATGTACATATATAGTATATGATATATATACTATAGTGTGTGTGTATATATATACATTATGCTATGTATGTACGTATATATGCTACACACACACACACACACACTGTAGTTTTAGGTTAGTTATAACCTCTTCAGTTTGACTCACTAAAACTGAGTGTTTTATTATATTGTTTATAAAAAATATCGAATGTATCTGGTGGCTGGGAGCATGGATTTCTTGTTTGCTCTTTGGTTTTCAGATCATAATTTCAATATAAATTTGTGCATAGAATTTTAAGCCTCATTAAATTTTTGGCAATGGAATTTAAGGAATCTCTCCAAATTTTCCTAAACTCTTAGTTTAGCTTCCTTTACTGCCAAAGTATTTCCTAAAGGGGTAGGATTTTTTTTCTCTTCCAAAATTGTGCCTTATAGATTTCTTACCTTTGCTTTGGTCAGGAGGGGAAATAATTATTAAACAAAACCTTTTCTTCAGTTAATATTATTTATTAAGATCTATGACTTATGCCAGAGAACAGGCTAAGTGTGGGTATTATACAAATTGAGATCAAGAGGCCTTGCTTTTTCCAGATATATGTTGTTACAACCTAGGTTCGCTTCAGCAAGTCTGGCCAGATGTAAGCAGGTAACGCGGATAAAAGGGACCGGGAGACAGGAGACCTTTGTCTCAGCACAAGTTTTATTGCTCCACTTTGCTGAGTCACCTTCCTCAAATCCCGCAGCATCCCACGGCCTCAATTTCCTTACCTGTCAATGAGAATAAATGAGGTCTTCTAACTTCTAAAGTTTTTGTCACAGAAAATTTAAATTTGTGCCATAAATATAGATAATATTGCTAAAGGTTATCCACCTCTTTTTATTTATTCTTAAAAAGTATCTGCAAATGCTCCCAGTTTTTCTGCTGCTTTTGGTCTCAAAAATGTCTTAGGGCAATGAGAATCAGGAAACTGCTAGATTAGCTAAAAACGATTTCAGACTTCATCTACAAGGGTTGACTGTGTCCATTTTTGCTAGGAGTGAGAACCAAATCTATTTTTCTCTCTTTAATACTCATTCTTTAGTTGTGGAGCAGCTGGTTATGTCACCCCAGCGGACTAAGGCAGAAGCCTCACACGTGGTTTACAGAACCACGCAGCAGACATCCATGGGCTGAAATAGCTGTAATTAGAAAATCAATGCTCTCCAAGTAAGAAAAATGACAAAAACACAAAATTTGAAATAATGAACGCAAAGGTTTGAATCATAAATATTTATTTCTCGAGAAACAAGGCAAACTCATTTCTAGTTTCAGAAACAAGGCAAACTCATTTCTAGTTTCAACGGAGAGGGATCAGTGGTAGTTTGGCCACACCAACAGTGCCATGTCAAAACCAGAATTTCTGCATAAGACCATAGGGGACAAGAAGCCCTGTCACCACCCTCATAGTGGATAGGATCTCTCCCTCCATCTCTGGACTGGTTCTGAAAACATCCCTGCAGATTTTATCTTCTATTCATAACCTTCAGACTCTGGAATTTGGGAGTGAGCCAAAGCTAGGTGTTACACGGACTTTAGCTGTGGATGTTAAGGTCATTTCACAACTAGTTGCAAAGCACATTTTTGACTGGCAGAAAAAAATGCAAAGCAATATTTAGAGTTTTCTTTCTGTGTGTGATGTTGGTTTACTTCCCTGCCACATAGATCACTCTGAGGAGTGCGGTGGGTACAGGGCAGGAGGGTGTGGCAAGTGAGTTTCAGTGGGGATCTGCTGGCTGGCGTAGCGTCAGAAGAAGCCAGGTGAAACCATTCTGCCCTTTCCAGCTTGTGGGTGTCATTGTTCTCCACAATTGGGTGATCCTCCTCAGCCTGCTTGGCTGATACCAGGTTCTTGGAGGCTCCTAGAAAACCCCCATGTAAATGTGCAGCCCAAAAGGTGGGTGCACAGCTGAGTTTGTGCCTCACCTGGCCCTGGGGGCGTGCATCCCTCTGGCCCAGGAGACATGCCTCTCGGTTGTGCAAAGAAACTTACTTAAAAGTATTCCCGTTGGTAGGATGATTTCAGAGACATCTATGAGAATTTCCCTCCCTTTGAAAACAAACAGACCCTCACCTGCATCCCTTCCCTTCTCCCCAGGGACCTGGAATCCCTCACTTTCTCGTGAAAACCCTTCATTCCTTAGTGAGAGCTGATCTTTAGAATGCAGACCCAGCAGGAGGAGCTACCACTTCTCCACTTCTTGAGTCCTTTCCATATAGAAAACACCGTGGCAGGAGATTGCCATCCGGAGAAGTTATTCTTATTTTTTTAGATGAAGAAACAGAGGCTTAGAAGTATCCATTTGCACAAGGTGACAACGTGTGTCACAGAACCAGCTCTCACACCCAGATTCTTCACACTCCAGAGTCCATGCACTCCCAGGGCCCTCTCCTGTCTCCAAGATTCCCATTCACTTTGCCCACACAGTGCTGGGCTTTAACCCTCCTGGAGAGGGAGAGAGCAGCTAGGATCTGTGGGCTGAGAAAGCTTTGGGCCTCCCAAGGTGTGCTGTGTGCAAGTCCAGGGATGATGAAGGCTGGGGTCCTAGCCTTGACCTCCAGGCACAAGACAGAGGCCCTCCTCCTGCTCCGTGGGGCAGCCTACCAAGGCGTCTCATTCAGGCTGGAGCCCCTTCTAGGAGAAGGGGAGTGGGTGTGTGTGGCTGACCCCTGCGTGCACCAGGGCTCTCCTGCCTCTCTTCCATCAGGAGAGGGCGCAGCTTATTTGAGAGGGCGGTGTGGGCGGAAGAGGTTTCTGTGCATTTCTGTTCACTTCACTTGCTCGAGTATAAGCCACGAGCCTGAGTAATGGTGGAGCACCTAAGCTGGGCATGTCAAGGGCTGTTGGCAGAATGGAGTGTGAGGCCCCAGATGGGTCTCTGGGGCTGGCTGTCCTAGTGGGATGTGACTGTTACTTTCCAGTGCCCTTCAGAGCTTCATCTTGTAGTCGAGGCACCAGTGATCCGTGTGGCTGCAAACCAGCTGGAGAAGGCAGGCGGAGTAAGTCAGGTCCCCCAGACCAGACTCCTCACCTTCATGGTCTGGCCCGGGGATCTCTCCACGTGCTGCTGCAGAAACCTCAATCCTGACACTTCCAACTGTGTGATGACTGGCTGCTTACTTAGAGATTGCAGGTCCCTTGAGGCCGGTTGTGTTGGTCCCAGCATTCCCAGTGTCTTTTGTGACACCTGAGCCCGAGATGTCTCTAGCTAAGCTGGAATGTGGACAACAGCTTTGCCCCAATTACAGGAATGAGGACAACTTCATGGGAAACAGAGAAAAGAAGGCAACTGGTTCACTGTGGTTCTGGGGAAAGTCCCGTTCTGCTCATTTGGACTGTGAATGAGAACCGTGAGTATAAACTGGAGTAGAAGGACTGTCCCTGGCTGCTTGGACTCTGGCTCCAGCCAGAGAGATGGGGCTGGCTGGAGGAACTTTCCAGAAAAGGGAGCAGCAGCCTTGCTCTGGGACAAATCCTGTATTGCCTTTTCAGATAATTGTAATCTGCTAGCATGAAGGCTGTGCGTGTTGCTTCCATTTTACCTTGTATTTAAAATGAACCTTCTGAAAATTTAGAAGGCAAGTAAAGCAATCCTGCTAATTTAATGAACATGAAGCTGTAAAAGTAGCTTTTATAGAGTGTCAGCCACTCACTGAGGAGCCTGGTAGCCAGAGGGAAAGAAGAGGGAAAAGGTGTGCCGTGCCTCATCCCAAGAGGCCAGGGC